GAGAGAGAGAGAGAGAGAGAGAGAGAGAGAGAGAGAGAGAGAGAGAGAGAGAGAGTTGTGACTTTGAGACTTGGCGACATTGGATCCAGACTCGACATGGGGATTCAGACACTTGACGAGGGATTATTTGGGACCTGTACCGAAGACTTGGTTTTGGAGACATTCCCATCTTCCCTTCTTCTTTGTCTAACCCCCCTCTTCTTCGTCTGTGTATGGTTGGGGACTGGCGGGCGCATTCTTCCTGTGTGAGCGGCAGGCCCCTTCACACCATGGAATGATGATGATGTATGTTTGGGGCTGCATTGCAACATTGATTGTTCGGATCATTGGTATCTAAGTGTTCCGCTATGCTATCTTGTACTTTGTGAGAGAGGTCGGTTCTTGTTCTGGTCTGCACCATTGCGGTATGCGACAGATTCCCCCCCCTCCACGTGGAACCAAGTGTAGCCATAGCCATAAGCTCATGTTTTTATGAATAGTTATTTTCAAGGAGCCAGAATGATTCTCTGTGGAATATATAATTGAGCCATGACGACAAGCTCGTGTTCTCAATCAAAAGGGAAAAAAAAAGAGAGAGAAGATCTTGGCACATCTCTTGATCCAGATCCGATCGGATCCTGTCCACATGGCCTGTATTCTGGTAGCCGGATAGGTCACATGTCCAGATCTGGTGGACCCCAGTTTCAGGCTCGCTAGCCTTGGAAGGTTGCTTAGTCAACTCAGGCTCGTGTGAACTGGCAAAGTTCTTAAATACTATTTACGTATGCTTTGTTGTTTTGGAATTTGTGACCCTAGTTAAGATGTTTCTTATCACAGTCTGATGATGTTTTGCTGATAGATTGCACGCCTGATTGTGCATGCGTTAACGCAGCGTATGTGCATTGTCATTCATTGTCTTTTATCCTGATGTCATCCAGGAGAAATGGCAATCTGTGCCGACACACACTCTCATGGCGACCAGGGTATGAGAAGGAGAGGGAGGGGCTCTGCTCTGATTCTTCCGGCAACTGCATATCTTCTTCTTTGGTCAATATCGGCTGTCGCAGGTATGAAGCAAGATGCCTTTGTGTGTTTTGTCCTTCAAAGTTCAACCCCAAATAAATACGAGGTACCTTCTTCGGCCAGAGTAGAACATACGGTTGTTATAGCAGCATCTAGACGGAAAGTTGCCCCGACTACAGCGATAATGACCGTACAGGGTACGTTTATTTCGGTGAAGACAGGAGTCCTTGGAGACATCCGTCAAAATCGAATCGATAGATTCGATACAGAAAACAGTCCAACGAGCCCTGCAAAAGGATGACACATGCAAATGCTCAATGCTCGGAAGTTTAAAAAATTGCAAAGAACATTGTCAAAGTCCACATAAGCAACCGGACTGATTCCCCACCCCCCAGAATAGAAGGGGCTGAGTGTTTTGGGGGGAACAAAAAATAAAAATAAAAATAAAAATCCACACAGGGACAGTCCAGGGTTTTGTAACCAGGGGTCCAGATTCAGGGGTCAAGACTCAAAAGTCACACCTGCTGACCCAGAAGGGTCTCAGGAAAGTCCTTTGGTCAACAGGTACAGGGTCAAGGGTAAAAAGAGGCAACCCTTGCCCCCAGGAAGAGGTGGTTGACTTTTTAGGAATATCGGGAGGAAGGCCCAAGTCGGACAGTCAAATAGAGAGATTTCTCAGCAGTCGAGCACAGCCACAGATATGATGCACATCAAAGGTTGTCTGCATTGTTCCAGAAGTTTCCAAGGCCCAATGGGTCCAGGCACAAACTGGCCGAAAGCAAATCTGAGCCAAGGCCAATCAAAACTGCAAAAGCATTGCCTGCCCATGTCAGCTCATTCATTCTGCTTTCCGCTGCTGGAGGCTGGGGCCAGGGAAGAAGAACGCAGCACCGTCCAGGAGAAAGGAGAGGCAGTAGCCATAGCCAGACGAGGGCACCATAGCTGTAGTATAGAGGAAGAGTGAGGTTGAGGGTGATCAACACCTGCATGGTGTGTGTGTGTGTGTGTGTGTGTGTGTGTGTGTGTGTGTGTGTGTGTGTGTGTGTGTG